TTCTAAATTGAACAACTTATCAAATAAGTTTAAATGGATAAATCTAGATGTGTTCAAATTCAAATTTAAATAATCACATTATTTAAATAATAATTAATTGAGAATTAATTATTATTTAAATAATGTGATTATTTAAATTTAAATTTGAACACATCTAGATGTATCCATTTAAACTTATTTGATAAGTTGTTCAATTTAGAATTCAAATTAATTTAATTTTGACTTAAATTCGAATTTGAATCTAAATTAAAATTGGACTACTGGATCAAGGATAAAATCTCTTCCTTCCCTATCTGAGATAGGCGCCACACACAGGGATAAAACCCTAGAGTGTGGCCGGCCACCTTGTGGATAAGGGGAAGGGATTTTTTGTTCAAAATTAAAAATTGGAGATAAGGATTTGATTCTATTTTGAAGTTTGACTTCTACTCTTTAAATATGAGAAAGATAGAAAATTGTAGCGACAATTTTAAAAACATATTTTTTGCCCTAAGTTTGTTGTGGCCGAATTTCTCATAGAGTGAAAAATAGAGAGCAAAATTTTTCTCCAAAAATTTCACATCGTGCATGCGTTGGTGTTTGTGGAAATTCGAGTGTTTAAGAAACCTGTTTTGTCTCACGTGTGCCCACACACACGTCTACGTGGAATCAAGGAATTGACGTGGAAGACTTTGGTATTCTAAACACAAAGCTTGGAGCAAGGACTGTTCGTGGTCAAAGAAATTCAAGTTATCATCCGAGTCGGCTTCCAGGTATTTTTCGGTTGATCCTTGAATGATGTAAATTAATGTGATTAATTTATTCGTGCATAAATTAATATAATCTATAGAGTATCTCAAAAGTTTTATGAAAATTTTTGTTATACACGATCCGCTGTTTTCCCACCACGCTTCCGCACCCGAATTCAATTCGGGAACCAGCATTTACTTGCTTAATTTCTATTTTTGATGGAAATCAAATGTAGAACTAGACTGAGATTGATTTGGAAAAATTAATTTAGGTTGGACTTTACATGGATGATGCATGTTCAATATAGGAATATATTGATTTGTAGAAGGTATAGGAATATATCGTTTACCTTGTATAACCTAATAAACCTAAACTTGAAATTGGAATTCCATGAATTAGATTCACATAGGAATATGATGAAATTGGTTTGAGGAATTATAGTCATAATTAATTCGGAAGAACTTTATGCACAAATTTGAGTTTGATTAACTAGTACAGAATGATGTAGCATTCCTTTAGCACAGCTTTAGCATTTTGCAATCAAGGGGAAATTAGGAAGTCCTAGCTCGATTATTTGCAATTGCTTGCATTTTTATTTTCTTTTAGTTATAAAAATATATAAAAACAATCCTAGAAGCTAATCAATATTGGTATTTAACGAAAGCTAAATACAATCCTCGTGGGATCGATATCCGTACTCTTGTACACTTTATTACTTGCGCGATTCGTATACTTGCGAGTTTTCACGCAACAGGTAGCTACCAAGAGATGGTTGTAAACACAGTGTCTAGCGAAAACAATTTGCAATTGCATGTGTGGTCTTTGGTTTTGTTGATTTCCAAATGCAGAAGCAATTTGTCAAGCTCATAATGCATTTGTGAAAAAGTGGGTCTATTGATGAATGACTCGAGAATTGGAAGCAAATAGTGAACGCTCAACTGTGCAACATTATTGCTATTATTTAAATAGGGATATTGTACAATTTTGCCCAGTGCATCATTACATACTAAGACAAGTTGCAATTGCTTGGTCTTTGGTTTTGTTGATTTCCAAGTGCAGAAGAAATTTTTCAATAAGCTCATAGTGCAATTGGAGCAAATTTGCAACTATTGATGATGTATGACTTTGAATTGGAAAAAAATATTCACCGCTTAGCTCTGCAACATTGGTTTTAAAACTGGGATATTTGTAGATGGGCAGCATCTCATTTAGCAGCTATCACCATGAATATTGTATTTGCTAAAAGTATCACTCTTCTTTTCATTTTTATATTTCTCTCAGTAGATACTGCCGGTTTTTGCTCTGCAAATAAGAGCTCTGACAGTAAACTCTGCGTCGAAAGTGAGAAGCAAGCGCTTCTGAGCTTCAAGAAAGGTATCGTAAACGACACAAATGACGAACTTGCATCTTGGGCTGCTGAGCAAGAGGATTGCTGCAAATGGGCTGGAATTGTTTGCAACAAGATAATTGGCCATGTCGAAGAGCTTCGCCTCAGTGGTTCGGGCAACATCAGGGGTCCCTTAATAGGCAAGTTAAATCCTTCCTTGCTTAATTTGACACATCTGATCAACTTAGATATCTAATCCTTTGATTTAGGAGGGGCTCAATTTCCCAAGTTTATCTGTTCTCTTGCCGGTTTAAGATATCTTGATCTTTCGGGTACTAATTTTAGCGGAATGATTCCTCCGCATCTCGGGAATCTCACCAAGCTGAGGAACCTTAGTCTTGGATTTTATGCCATATCACCTGGTCGGGTATATGTTGAGAATCTTCTGTGGCTTTCTGGCCTTTCTTCACTAGAATATCTAGATATGAGCTACGTGAACCTCAGTAGAGCATCTGATCATTGGTTGCTAGCAATAAACAAGCTCCCATCTTTGCGAGAACTATATTTTTATGAATGTGAACTTAGCCATATCCATCATCTATCCTATGTTAATTTTACATTCCTTGCAATTCTTGATCTGTCGTATAACAATTTTAATTCTCTCATACCTGATTGGATTTTTAGCCTTAGCAATCTTGTCGATCTTACATTGCGCAGTAGCAACTTTATAGGCCCATTTCCCAATGGTTCTTGGCACTTAAATTCTCTCACCAACCTTGTTGCTAGTGAAAATCATCTCAATTCTACCATTCCCAACTACCTTTATGGCTTAGCCAATCTTGAATACCTCGACCTATATAGAAATAACTTGCAAGGTTTTATATCAAGTGCCATTGGAAACCTAACCTCTATCACTTTTCTTGGCTTGTCACATAATGCTCTGGAAGGGGAACTGCCAATGTCCCTGGGAAATCTTCGCCGTATGCAAGCTTTTAATGTTGCTTATAATAAAGTGAACGGATCTTTTTCGAAAATCCTTGCCTCCCTCCCCTGTGTATGGCTCATCGATGTTTCTCATAATCACTTGGAAGGTGTGATATCCGAAGCTCACTTTGTTAATCACACGTGTTTGCGTCGATTTTCTGCTTCTGGAAACTTGCTGAGGCAAAGAGTGAGTCCAGATTGGATTCCTCCCTTTGATCTTCTTGATCTAGAAATGGGATCTTGGAACTTGGGTCCCCAGTTTCCAACGTGGCTCAGATCACAAAAGTTGCTAACCGGTGTCAACCTATCCAACAATGGAATTACAGGCGCCGTTCCTAGTTGGTTTTGGAATCTATCTGATTCTTTTCATTGCATTAACTTTTGTATCAGGAAGGATTCCGGATTGTTGGATGAAGTTTCCATCGTTGCAGGTGTTAGACTTGGGTGATAATAATTTGATCGGGGAAATTCCAAGCTCAGTGGGATCTCTAAAAGACTTGCAGTGGTTGCGTCTTCACAACAATAGCCTCTCGGGAGAAATACCTTCCTTTCTCCAAAACTGTACAATGTTAAGGAATCTCGATCTTGGTCTAAACAAGTTTCTTGGATGCATACCGACTTGGCTTGGATTTCGTCTTTCAAATCTCAATATTCTCAATGTCCGACCGAACAAGTTGAATGGCCAGATTCCACACGAGCTCTGTCGCCTAACTAAGCTTCAAATCTTGGATGTTCCCGATAACAATTTAACTGGGACAATACCAAGTTGTTTCGGAAATCTAATTGCTATGGCAACCAAAAATCAATCAAGTGATCCCATTACTTACGGTTGGTACATTTATGAGTTGATGGAGAATGCACTCGTGGTAATAAAAGGTAGAGAAGATAAGTATGATACCATACACTCACTAGTAACTAGCCTGGATCTCTCGAGTAACAACTTATCCGGAGAGATTCCGAAGCAACTAACAAGTCTCCACGGATTGATATCATTAAATCTATCAAGAAATCATTTGAGAGGTAGCATTCCAGATAGGATTGGGGATATGGAATCGATCCTATCTCTTGATATCTCAAGGAACCAGCTGTCCGGTAAAATCCCTCCAAGCACATCGAATTTGAATTTCTTGAGCTACTTCAACATGTCATGCAACGAATTATCAGGCGAAATCCCATTGAGCACACAACTACAGAGCTTTGGACCTTCTAGCTTTGTTGGCAACCAACTCTGTGGACCTCCACTCCCCGAGATATGCATAGTAGATCAGAATACAATGCCTGCAGGTACTGAAGATGAACGAAAAGAAAGCGACGAAGATGAAGAAGAGTATTGGTTCCGTTTGGGCATAGCAGTTGTGTTTGCAGTGGGCTTCTTGGGTGTCATTTCTCCCTTGTTGTTTCGAGGAGTACTTGTGGTACAAGATTTTGGATTGCTATATCAAATTCAAGCTCATGTTGGTGAGGAATTAATTTTCCCAATATCATTGCTTGGAGCATGTAAGTTTTTTTCCTCACTCGTCTTTATCGTTTTTGCCTGTATTATGGACATGAGTTGGAAGTTTTCATCTACTGTTTTTCTGCCGTTAAGCATCTAAATTAATTTGCTCAATCATCTTTTATATGTATGGAATGCAGTAAAACTGGGGAGCATCGCCGTAGGATTCGCTATTGGAGTTTCGGATGTCATTAATAAATAGCTTCTATACTGTTCCTGGAGACACTTTATGGTTTTTGGCCTGTTGAACTGGAACACATGTGGTGCAAGATCTTTGATTGCTTTGCCAGTTTAAGTACTTTTGAACTTACCTCTTTTTTTCATGGCTTGTAAGGATCAAAATTTTGAGAATATATTGTGTAAATGGTGTACGCAAGATGTATTTGTGTTACTTAATTACAATTACATCCATAATATATACTGAATGATTATTCGAATGTATATCCCCAGAAAACAGTTTTCGATCATCCTACATAATTAACAGCAAACACAACTCTAAAAGGCAAAACATAGATGCGGCATCTATCTTCAATATGCCGTGGGAGTCATCAATCTGAAGCAACTCTAACTGCCTTCTCAAAGTAAAGTCTGGATGGAAATAGATGATTAGAACTTCACTATAAGTCAAATGAACAATCACTATAAGTCATTAAATATGCTTCGTGTGAAAATAAAGCGCTTGGCCCCCTTGATGACTTGTTTTTTTTTTTTTTTTTAAAGTAAAGACCTTGAATTTTCTTATTTTTAAAAGGAAGACTTGGATTTTTAATTTATTTTTAGAAGGAAGACTTGGAAATTTTAAGCATTTAGCTTTGAAATCCTAGTACTAAGACTGGAGGACTTGGAAATTCTGCAGCTTTGAAGAAAGGCATCTTGTTAATTAGCCGTGGGTGTGTCCCTTCAACCCCTTGCACTTATTTTGCTTGTGGTACTTCTAGCTGAAACAAGCTTTGATGTTTCCTCCGAAAATAGAGGATTCAACATACTTTGCGTTGAGAACGAGAAGCAAGCGTGTTAGGTGTTTGTTAGTTGGCAATTTGTTTAGCCACGGTTGTAAAAATTCAAAGCAGGTTGAAGATGTAATGCAGAATCAGATTTGCTGTTGCAGACTTCAAACAGTGATCTCAAGATTGGTTGATGCAGATTTCGTCCAGTTATGTCGTCGCAAACAATTCCAGCCCATCTGCAGCAGTCCTCATCATCTTCTGCAACCCAAGACGATAAAAGATTTCCAGAATCATTTACGATCCCCTGCTTAAAGCTCAAAAGCGCTTGCTTCTCACTTTCAAAAGCAGAGTATTTTGTCAGAATTAACGTTAGCAGAGGAAAACCAGACAGTTCCTCCTGATAGAAATAACACAAAGGAAAAGAAGACAAACTTCCGTGGTGATGATGAGATTCTGCAACGTAGAGGCATTTTAATAGCATCCGGGTAAACACGTCAAATCATTCTAAAGAAGAAACATTGTATGTATGTGCATGTTGATGCTTCATTTTTCAGGAACCTACAAGCCCGTGACATGCCATTTCGAGTTGCTTCTTTCGGAATGACCTAAACATGGTATTGTGTAATTCCTATTAAGATCCTATGTCTGCTGTAAATGACCTAAACATTTTTAAGTTTCGATCTAATTACAAGTTAAAAAAAAAAAAAAAAAAGTGTGCGCGCGTTTACCATTGACCTCCTTTGTTATAATATACAGTTCAACATTTTCTTTTTGCATATTATCTCCGAACAAAAGTAACATTTCATCAATTATGATCGCTGCGAGAGTGGGACGTCGTTAATTTTAGGTTAGGAGCGTATCACTGGCAACACTACCATCCATGTGCTGGAATACAAACCGAGAAACAGAGTAGGAAACTTTTAACAAAATGATAGTATCACAAGTTGTTATTCCTCTTCAAAGAAACTTTACATTGCCTTTCTGAATTCATCTATAACTTCCTCGTATTTGGCTCCAAAAAGTTGAACATTCCTTTGAACAGTACAATCAAGAGTCGAAAGATGTTAGCATTTGATTGTCTTACAAATCTGGTTCTCCAACAACAACAACAAAACGCCATTCATGATTCCATAGAAATATTTGTTGCTCGCCCAAGGTTTGAATTTGAATTGAGAGTCGTGCAATAACGAAAAGGAAAGAAGAAACATGTGTACGCTCATCTGTACATTAAACCGGATCTACTCGCCGACAGCTACCAAAGGTAATCCCCTGGGGAAGAATCAAAAGTGAAGGAGCGAGAAGAAAGCACAAAAAACAATATCGGTTTGCATCCTATCAATCATATTAACCAGCCACATTGTCTGTAAGGAACAACCATTTAGCTTACCAGCCACCGTGTCTTGAGAAATAGTCATTATCCAATGATATGGCAAGAGCAACAGCCACAGCTCTCTCCGATAATGTTAGAGGACGGGTCACTTCCAAATCTTGGACCTGCAACCAGAAGAGAATATAGAAGGTTGAATAAAGAACCAACCAAACAATGAGTGAGAAACAATAAGAAAAATTTTAAAAATCAAAAAACTATCTTGGTATGAGTGTCTACCGCTCTAGCACGTCCAGTCTTGGAGCTTGGATCTGAACTACCAAAGCGGATCACATATTGACCAGCATCAGTAAAAAGCTGTATCATATCAAATTAAGAAAACATATTAGACTAATATGATTTCAATTTGTTCTTCAGAAGAGCCAAATTTGGCTTGACATTCAGAAACAAGCCAAAAAATGATATAAAATCGTGTAGTGAAGGCATGCTCTTCGGGAGGCAATAACCATGATGCATAATTAAACCGAACAAAACTCGAGTTTTGTTCTGTTTTAAAGGATACCAAATATTATAAGTGATTGCAATAATTAGAAACAGATTAATATTAACAATTTAAGGATAGAAGAGAAATAACCTCAAAGCCAAAGCCTCTCCAGTCACGATCTATCTCAGCCAGAACTTTGCCATCAATGTCCTTTAAAGTAAAAGTCCAATTCCACAAGCCAGGATTTTCAACCACCGCAAACTGCTTGTTCCTACAAAATGTTTGACACTTAAGCGGCAGTGCATAAGTGACAGCAAGCTATAGGTGTATAGAAACTAAAGAATAAACTCAATCATCAGGCAACCTGATTGCTTTTAGATTCAAGTATTCTAAAAGATAGATGGGGAAGAAAAGGAGAATTACCCTAGATATAAATCATAAATCCTCCTCCACAAATGCCATCGTCTGTGAACCACGCCAACTTCCTATTAATTAACAAACAAATGATGCGCATCAGAAGCCAAACTGCAATACGAACTAAAAATATCAAACACATATAGCATAACGCTTAGCATACAGGCCGAAACAACATACCTTACCATTGATCTCTGTGTATATTGAGCTGGTTATCCACCAAAAAGGCCTTCGAACCTAATAATAGTAAATAAAGATGTCAATATCTCACTAGAGGAATAGCAAACAACTTGTCGGGTTTCAAGAAAAGACAAAACCTCACCCTAAAGAGCTCGTTACCCATTGCATCAGTTATGTAAGCAACAAAAGGACGCCTCAAGCGGAGAAACTTCAAAATGAAAAAGAACATTCAGCATGGAAGAATATTTAAGGAAATTGCAGTAATACAGATCAAAGATACGTCACATGGAATATTCACAAAAGTATGGACCAACATATTCTCCAAGATCTAACACATTCGGAAGCTATTTTGCCCCCCGATTTGATGTGAAACTTTCTACACAAGTATGAACAAAGGAAATCTTTCATTAAACAAGCAGGAATAATTTTTATGCTGCAATTTACAGATCGCTACTCAGAAAGAGGTAGTTTTACAACTTCACATGAAAATAATTTTAACAACAGGGGAAAAAAAAAGAATAAAGAATAAAGGAACTTCAAAAAAAATATATTATTATCCAATATCACAACGAGAAGCTCATTCCGCAAAAAGCATACATGATCCAACAACTAGCAAAAAAAAACAAAGAATACTCAAATCGTTATTAAGGGAGGGGGGGGTTGTTGGGGGAGGTGAACTACAAAACTTACCTGTCTGGCAATAACATTGCTCTGCTCACGAATAAAACCTACAGGCTGCAAAACAACCATAACTCTGTAAGTACTAGAAACTTGCTTATAGTGTAAGGTCAAACAACTGTCTGGGAACTATCCATCCTTATGTTTAAAACTAGTGTCTACGAATTCAGGAGTGAAATAAATAAACTCACTGCTTGGGGATAGCACACATCTACAATTGCATACCGGTTTTCCTGGAATATCATCAAATAAAATGTGTAAAGGATATATTACTAGGAATCAAAATAATGAATTAAACAAAAAAGATAGCAATTAGATGATATAAATAGCGCTTATTACTAGGAATCAAAATAACGAATTAAACAAAAAAGATAGCAATTAGATGATATAAATAGCGCTTATTACTAGGAATCAAAATAATGAATTAAACAAAAACGATAGCAATTTGATGATATAAATAGTGCATTGTAAAATTCAATGTAGAAACAAATTTCAAAAGAAATCTCAAAACATGGCTTCAATTCTGCCAAAGTGATGTTTGACGAAATATGGCAGGGAACTGTAGATTACAAATAAAAAAGAGGCAAACATCTGTTAAACCTTGTTTTAGTGTCTGTTTACTCAAAATGTCACAACCAAATGAAATACAAGACTCCAGGTAAAAATACTCAGCCAACCATCAAAAAACGTGTTTGGGCTCCCTACAAACTCCCACAGCCTAACTTGAAGCTTAAAAAACATTTGATGTAAAAACCAGCAGGGGAAAGCATAAATTTCACACTTTACAACATCATCGAAATAAAAATAAATTGGAACACATTCAGCTCTATAATGGTACCAGTTATACAGATTTCACCGTATAGCTTCAAAGTGGAACATTCCATTTCCATTCTTCTTAGTGTGACAATATGTGCAATCTAGCAAAAATGTTCTGAAAAAGAATTACCTGCTCAAAACCAAGGACAAGATTTGCCCACTCTATATCCCTAGTAATCAGCAAATTTGATCTTGAAAGAAGAGGTGCTACCCGGGCCTATCAAAAATAAATGAGTAACAAATGAGATAATTCAATAACTCCTTTTGAGAAACCCAAAAGTCAGATATCTAGCATCCTTATGGGCTTCAACAACTAAAGCATTCAAAGAGTTCCTGTTACCTATGATCATGTTGAGCTGAAAAAGCGTTTCAAGTCACTATTATATCACTATGTGCTGTTTGTTTTAGGTTGTATAGGTCTTTTCTATATTCTAGTTGACAAATTATTGTCCTCATACTTACAATGTAACTTTTTCTTTTTAATGAAACTCTCCCTTAAAAAATAAAATAAATAAAAAGTAATTTGACACCAAATGGATATATTCCATCAATCCTTCCCAATCAAAATTGGGACTCTTTGGAGGATTTCGAATCCCTCACCCAATCCATTCCCTCCTTTAATCCTTTCTCCCAATTCCCAAACTATGTCATAAAATCCTTTCACTAATTGCCCCATCCCTCTCTCTCCTTCCACTTTTCCCTCCTATCAAACAAGCTCTAAATTTTGAAAAATAAATAAATAAATAAATAAACCGAAGATTCATTAAGCGGGCAGACGGATGCGACTAATTCGATTTGACCGCTTGGAACTCGTAAATTATCTGAAAGGAGGTATTTATGGATGTTCATAGATCAAAAAAACTACCACTTTCAATTCAACAGATAAGTAATTATATAATTAAAGACTCAAAACTTTACCTCTTCTGGAGATTCTGGCCTCAGAAAACCAGAAACCGATTGGCTAAGAGGTGGTTGTTGCATAACTCCTTCACTCTCTTCAGCAACAGATGAACCTGAAAACCATCTGCCAAGACGATGGTTGTCGTATGTCGGTGGACCACGATGCCCGTAGACCCGTTTTCTTCCCCTTTTCCTTTTGGAATCCTCCATTTTGCTATCTGCAACCCAGAGCTGTACAAGAAAGCCTCTCTCCAAGCGAGAATCGTCCCCAACATTCTTTCCAAATTGACGAGACACGATCAAAGAATTCGGTTTCGATTGAAGATAATTCGCTCCAAAGAAACTCAGTAACCTAAATCCCCAAAACGGTTTTCTTGATCCGATCAAACTTTCTTGAAAACCTGAATCCCCAGCCATTGAGCCACTGGACTTCGCCGGAGACGGCAAACCTCCAAGGACTTGAACCTTTTCGCCATTGAAAACACCATTTTGATGATTTCTTTTTACGCAGTACAATGAGGAATCGATTCTCGAAATCTCTCTAGCGGACCTGTTAATCCTCGCAATGCAACGCCAATTTCTCCAATTCATCTCGAATAAAATTCTCAAATTTCTGCACAAAAATTAAAAATTAAAAAAAAAATCAAGATGATGAATTCCAAAAGAACAGAAGAGAAAATGTCGGGAGCTGTTATTCCTACTCCAATCAGTCTGGTATAGAGATAATCGCGTAGCTATAATATTGCATTAAAGACAAGAAAAAGTGAGGAGGAAAAGAAAGAAAAAAACTTGCGTTCAAACTTATTTTCTGGGTGTTTTTCCCGGCATCCAAACAGAAGCTCAATGAATGAGCAGCAGAAGACGTGAAAGCAATAATCTGAGCGTAGAAAGAAAGTAGAGCTTTACCAGAGTTGTATGTTTCAGGTTTGAATGCTGTTCTTTGAAGTTACTCTTCTGACTCTTTGACTCAATTCTTCATTCCTCCATGGAGGTCGCCTTCGGACCGTCTTCTCTCTCTCACTTTCTGACACTACTCGTGAATCTTTGTCGCAGGGGCTTGGGCCTAACTTTCATGTGCTCTTGGCGTTCGGAGCTCAACAGAAGTTGGCCCATTAAAGTCAAAAGTGGGCCTTCCAGGTTTATTGCCCCAGTGATAATTACACCAGATGGCAAAACTTCATACATTGATTTAATTAGCAAAATTTTCAGAATAATAGAATAGAGCAAAAATAACAAAATCATTATTATAATAATGCCACTCGTTGTACTGCATAATAATATGATAATTAATAATATCAAAATTTTACTATTTTGTAAAATTTTAAAAATTTGGCTATATTTAAACTCTACTAGAAATTTTGCTAGATAGCCTACCATCTCTTACTTGACTTCTACGGTTTACAAGCCCACACACTGCCTACGACCTAGTTGGGCTGTCGTTTTTTACTTTTACTTTTCTTTGATAAACACAAAACAACTCATATCATCACTTCTTTATTAAACTTAACGCAGAATTATTTGGCCTTTTTTATTTTAGTATAATTTAATACGAATACTGTGCATTATGGTATTTGGTAAAGGTTTTTTTTACACTAACATAAAATCCTTTTTCTTATCCGTTTTTTTTTTTTTTTTCCCCTCTAGATTTCAATGAATGCTGCAAAGTACATGCGACTATAAATTGATAGTAAATACTTAATGGGGAAAAAAATGGTGAATAATTGATAGACTGGGGAAATTGAAAATACTAGTTTTCTCTTCCCAGGAGAGCAAGAAAAAGAATGGTACAAATTCTTTAAAGATTTATTATGTGTAGAAAACAAATAATTAGATGAAATCTAAAAAGCAAAGCAAAATCATCACATTTCTGATTGTTATTGGACATGTCCGTGGCATATCATCCTGAATTTTCGGTCTATATCCATTCTCAAACTTTATACTTTAGAAGTAAAATTAAAATGTAAAACTTTCAGCCTACCAAATCTTTTAACTTGAGAAACAAACCGAGTCTTTAGTTACGAGAACTTCAACAGTCTGCAAAATTTATTTTCATAACCAATTCAGTTTTGCCATTCTCCCTTCACATATGGAGTCCCATCTATCATTTGCAGATCTCTCTGTAGATATTTAACATTAGAGCTTTCTCTGTCTTAAGAGTCGAAGCAATCACAATAATATAACCCCGGAACATAATAACATGTCACAGTAATATTCTTACAGCTTTCTCTAATGCGCACCATATATTACACCCATCATAGACACCCAATTAGCCCATGACCACATTGCTGAAGATCACTTAGGCCATTGGTTTACAGAGTCGCATTTAAACAGGAATAAAAAGTTGTTATGAACCAGAAAACCCAAAGCAGCTTTGAAGCGAAACTGAAAAGTAATAATCAAGTGCTTTAGAACTATCGTCATCAAACAAATAATAAGGTAGCGAGCACGAAATTAGCATTCAGACAACAGTATCAATCAAAGATTTTCTCATCTCATCAACGATGGCACTAGGCTGAGCTTCCCTCAACTTGAAGACGTTCTCAATAACTGAGAGTTCAGTTGCAGTGGTGTCTGAGCCACAGAATGCCGTCCAGTCATTCACCGTGATGCCTGCAGCTATGACTTCACTACCCCGGTTGACAGTCCCGGCTACCAAAGGTACCTGAAGAAGCGTTGAAAGTTCATCCAAGTCTTCAACAGAGGTGTGAGGGTGAACCTGCGTCCAACATTTTAATTAGAAAAATAAACGCGCCAGCCACGCAAGGAAACGAAAAGCATAATGTTTGTTTGTGATAAGTAATTACCAGGCCACCCTTGTTGGAGAAGGAACAGTAACTGCCAACAAGAATATTTCCAGCAATTGTCTGCCTAAAAACTTCAACTCCGAGAACATCCGCAATCATTTCTTCAGTTTCCTGATGAAAATTGAAAGGGAAGAAAGAAGAGCTGTGTTAGTGTTGAAAGATGAATGGTATAAAAGTTAAAGACAACAGAGAAAATAAGGGGAGAGAGAGAGAGAGAGACCCTATCGAGATCGGTGTGGGTGAGAGCAACATAGTCATTGCAAGCAATGCAATTACCAAGAGCAGAAAGTCTCTCTTCAATGCGCTGAACTACTACTTCATCAGGAAGACTGTTTCTCAGGTGCTGAAGCTCTGATATTAGTAGTAATAGTAGTAGTAGTATTAGTACTAGTAACTTAATATAACAGTACAAATGAAAAAGAAAAACATGGAAAACATAAGATAGAAAACATAAGAGTACCTTGGTCGGTAGTAGTGTGGGGCAAGAGAAGACCCTTTTTGTTTCCTGAAAATACAAACAAAAGAGATTTAGAGAGAAAACAATCAAACATAGAAAAGATTAAATTGAAAAGAAGAAGATAATCACAAGAAAAAAGTAGTGGTAGTACCGGCACAAAGGCGACCAATGATACGAGTGCCGCCGATGGAGGTCTTAACAACCGGAATGTGATCAGCCAACTCCGATTCGAATGTGCTGCACCAAATTCATTCATTCATTCATTCTCAAAATTAAAACTAATAAAAACAAAAGAAGAAAGGCTGATTACACAAAGAAACAAAAAACAAACCAACCTGTAGAAGTTTTCAGAACCACCAATGGCGACCAAACAATAAGCGTTCGAGAGCTTCGAAAACACTCCAACTTCGCACGAGTTCTCAAATTGCAGCCCTGATACCATCAATCATTATCATCATCACCACCATCATCATATTTGTTTCAATCTTCTTCTTATTAATCCGACCAATATAAACAAAACAAAACTAAACTAAACACAAAATCATTATAATTATTTCAAAAGGAACAAAAAAGAGGAGAAGAAGACAACTCACGAGTCGCCATGATTGTTGATGGCAATTTGCAAGGAAGACCACCGACTTAGGGATTGTAGTGAGAAAGAGCGTTCCTGTTTGTTGCGCAAGTAAGAGGAAGAAAGCAAAAGGAAGAGGGTTTCAATTTTAGGGTTTAAGATCATAGAGGCGTCTTCTAGTATAAATAGGGTTTGACAATTTTTGTGCCGCGCTGTGCTGTGAGATTGATTAGTCCCTTCTATTTATTTATTTGTTTTTATTGGAATTGTTATTGTTAATATTATTATTATTATTATTATTATTGAAGGGGCTGGTGAGACTTCAAGCAATTCTATAGAAAAAGACAAAACAGAGGTCCAAGATAAGAAAAAACCTGACAGAGGGGAGGTCGCCGGACGGCCGGAGCGCCGCTGCTTATCCGAGTGAGAGGAGATGGGGAAGTCGAGACTCAGAGTTGTAGAAGAAGATAAGATGACGGCAACTGTTTTTGGTTAGGGTTTTTTTTTTTTTTTTTTTTAGATTCCGGGTCCTTTCTCTCTCTTTTTTTTTTTTTTTTTGAAGTGTCTTTGTCTTCATTTTTAATATATTGATTTTTTTTTTAAAATATTTTTATGTCTGTTTAGTTTGCTTATATGAGTTATGTTTTTTAGTCGTGTTTAAGTTATAATTTAAGTTGTGTATGTGAGAAAAAAATAGTGTAGTAAAAGAATTAAATTTAAATTTTTATTAGAGAAAACATTATAACCATAAAAATTGAGTTATGACTTGAGTTGTGAAGGGCTTGTTCTTTTGATATTTTTGAGTTAGGTAACTTGAGTGTAGATTTTGAGTTGAATTTGAGTTATAACTTGAATTGAAGTTGTAATTTGAGTTTGTGTTTAGTTGTGTACATTTGAGTTATGGTTTGAGATAATAATCTTTTTTGAGTTTGTGTTTGAGTAAGTTAAAACTTGAATTTGTATTTAGATAATATTTTAATAAAAACTCAATGCTGATGAAAAATTTTAATAGGGTATATGGGTCTAATTTTATTCGTTTTTTCATTGTTAACGCATAGAAAAAAAATCATCTCAATCAGAATTAAAACGAAAAAGTTATATCATTTTTAAGAATAGAAAAAATATTATTCATTAACTTGAGTTTGAGTTTCTGAACTCGAGTTGAATGGAAAACTTGAATTTGAGTTTTAGTTCCAAACTCGAATTCAAACTTAAAAGAACATGAACTCAAATAAAATTATAACTCGAGTTATATTTTCTTAAATTTTTTATTCAAAAACCACTCTGCCAAACAAGGCGGAAATGAACAATGCCATAGCGATTACAAATAAAAGCATCACACTGAATTCCTTTCTCCTTCAGTAAAAACAAAAAAATAAAAACATTTTCCCTAATGGATTGTGGAAGGAGAAACCGATGAAACTTTTCGTCCACTAAAGGATTCGACCATAGTAATTGGTTTTAGATTTGAATATCAAAGTTTTAATTTAGCAATAAAATATTACAAGAATAGCAAAATTTTAATATCATTAAAATAATTACTATTTCATTATATAGTATAAAATCAGATATCATTATGATAATGACTATTTAATCATTCAAAATATTATAAGAATAGTAAAATTTTGATATCATTAAAATATGATTATATCATTATATAGTATTAAATCTGATATTATTATGATAATGACTATGTCTTTTTTGTTATATTTATAATATTCTGAAATTTTTGCTAAATTTCAACTCAAGATATGAAATTTTGTAATTTTGCCAATATAGTGTAATTATCTCTTTTTGATACATATAAAAATCCTAATGTGTAAATAGGCTGAATTGTTCTTCTTTTGTAAAAATTACACAATATGACTCTTTTTTTCAGAGTTAAATTAAAATGTGGCTGCTTTTTATAAATATCACTGGATTATTTTTTTTAAATACATGTATTGGCAACCAAAAATACCCCTTTAATTGATTTTTGTTAGACCCTTTTTTTTAGAGAAGTTTTTTATGTGCATTTTTATTTGCAACTAGCTTCCCTATTTTTCTCTTAATTAAATTGTTAAAAACAAGCATTACTTCAAAATATAAGAAGCAATCATTTAAATTGCAGTGAATAAAAATAAACAACATATGGTGCAAAAAAAACTAACATATCATTAAAATAGTATAACGTATCCACATGATATCATTAATATAATGTAATATCAATTAATAAGAATAAGGTATTCACATGTCATTATTAATATACTGTAATATCAGTTATATTATAAATACATACTAATGCCTCAGTATTCGTACATCTCACAAAATACATGCATAAAGTTCAATAACATAATAAGACCCAATCAATCAAAATAACGAACTCAACGTCAAAAGGTAGACATCCCACAAAATACTTGGCCTGTTTAGTTCGTTAATTCGAGTTTTTAATTCGAGTTGAGATGTGACTTTATGTGAGAGCTTTTTACTGTAGCAAAAAAGTTAGATGTGACTGTTTCTGAGAGCTTTGTACTGTAGCAAAACTCGAATTCTAAACTCGAATCGGTGAAGTGAACAGTGCCTTATTTCATAATAGTGTCACAAAATCAGTCTCATAATCCTTATTTCATGAGATTTGAATTTTTTGTCATTTAAAAAGTAGATATCCCACTAAATGTGAGAAAAAAAAAAAAGTAGAGCAATATCATGATTATGAAAATAAATAAATAATATCATTAAAAGGTCATAAAAGTAATTGCATAATACGTTATTTAAATATTATTATATAATTAGGTTATTTTAGAGATTTATGTGCAAATATCACGGCCTATGGACATTTTCTCTTATAAAAAGGACACATGTGTAGTTAACTCTATGAGAAATTTATGCTAAGGCTTGTTTTACCCTATTGGTCAGATAAAATAACGTGCCCTATAGTTAAATACTCCTATAAATAGAGCTTGACCGTAGTCCCTTTTTAGTCCTCCAAGGGACCAGCCCCTTACAGAGATAACAAATAAAAGTTGATGAGTAACAAAAAGTGATCCTTCAAATCGTGCCCTCAAACCATTTTTAGACTTAATATTTTACATAACTTAAGTTATGACTTAAATTATATACGTAAAAAAAATATATCATAACAAAAAAATTAAATTTAAATTTTATAAGAAAAAACACTGTAACAATATAACTTGAGTTATAAAGTGAACATATTTAATAAAAAAAAAAAAAAAATAGAGCTGTAAAACGCCCTCTAAAACCCAATCTTTTCTTTTTCTATTGTCTTTATGTCAAGTTAGTATTGCCTTTATGTCAAGTTAGTATTGCCTTTGTAAATCCGAAAGTCTTTTTGCACATAAGGCCATAGCTTGTTTGATACTAATACATACATTTTAAAAAAAGATTGAAAAAGTGCAATGTTAATCAATGAAATTTTGTCATTTTGGGACCCTTTTTAAGAACTCATTTGATTCACGTGTTCAAATTAATAATTCTGATTCATTAACACGAACTTGAAAGTACCATTGATAGAAAATTTTTACATTCAAATTCTTTATTAGAGGAAAACATTATAACAAAATCAGAAATATGAGTTTAAATACATCAGGCCCTTAATTTTTAACTTCTTCCTTGGTACTTCTTCCACAAACTCACAAACACAAGAATTCCAAACTGATTGAATGACTAAGAGAATATAACCATCTTCTATAATATTTGGAATAAAAATATTGGACATCATCAATTGTACAGTTGTGCAGAATGAAAACTAATAACATATGATGCGAGACATCACCCCCACTTTTACAATAAACAAGGCAAAAAAATAAAAAAATAAAATATATAATGACTCAACCTGTTACAATCATATTGTCAAATACCATAAAGCCCAAAATACCAACCTGTTACAATCACAATAATATCACACATTCCTCAAGCAATGCTTTTGTGCCCGTCAGAAATCAAGGAACAAAATATGAACTTGTAAACATATATATCTCACCGAGGAATCTGAGTTCTAAAGACTGATGATCTACAGTATTTTACATATTCAAAGGGGATCTACAACGAATCGCACTTCTCAAGGTTTGTCTATGTTTGCTAAATTAGTTAAAAAGAAAAATGAAAAGAAAGAAACACAAAAATACATAAAAGACAAACTTCTCATCAGAGTACCTCCTACTACGTCATCCAATTTGATTGCAGACACCAAGTTGTTTCCTGACTACCGCGAGACTTTTTTCCGGTTTTGCTGTACATGACTCCACTCCAATCCATGGTTACCTGCTTCATCCAATTATTCAAAAGAAACTTGTCCAGAAAAAAGTAAATTAGCAATAACAAATGATGTACTAGCACTATTTAAAATTTATTGTGTTCGCCATATAAAAATGTACATGTAAATCTATGATGGATTTCTCTCCACATCACTATTTAACAGAGCCCCATTGCTAGCTGCGGCTTTTGATGGCGGCCTATTGATCTTCTCAAGTAACCTACTGAAAACTAATTTGACAGGTATGCACGCTACTGTCGTGGGTGGCACAGACGACTCCGGTTTAATCAACCCATCTATTTGGTTGCTACTACTATCATGTGTTGTTGGCTTGTTACTTAAGTTATGTTCAATAGCTATAGAAGACAGAGTCCTTGTCTTCTGGCTAGATGATGAGCTTACTTTCTTCGGCACCTTTTTGTTTTTTCGATCGGACAGAGGCCCTGAATTGTGAAGAGCATTCTTCCTCACCAGCACCGGCTTGTGACTGAAATTCCCTGCATTTGATTTCTTGGATGGTGGCTTAGTTTCTCTATCTAAGAAAGGAAAGTCATAAGCAGCTTCGTCACCGTCCAGTGCTGACGATAAATGAGGGCGTGGGACCCGGAAATTTGCTGTCCTCCTCGCTGTTCTCCATGCCTGAGGAAGAGCAGTACTTCCATCATTTTCAATTGCTTCATTGCCAAAATAATCCATTGTGGGAAGAAGATTACTAGATGAACCGTCTTCTAATGTTTCGATCTGGATTGGGTGCCCTATAATCGCTTTCCCATTCAACTTACTCATCAAAGAGACAATAGGGACAGGCTCTTTTTGATAACTTGCTTGGACTTTCAAATCGACATCCATCAACATGGATCTTGACCTCCCCCCAAATTGATAACGGGAATCGTAAACCGGATCAAAGTGTTCTCTTTTGGTGTCCCAATATCCCCTCAAAGAAGGCTGATCCTCCCAACTAGAGTCGTCCCAATCAATCATACTACGGCCAACACTACTTCGACCTCTGAACGCAGCTCTTGATGAGGAGTAACCATTGTCTAGTTCAATCATCTCCGCCCTAAAATCCTAGTAAAACACATCAGCCTTGTCAGAACATCATAAAGAAAAACGTTGTGTAGAAATTGTAAGGCTCCCATTTGAAGAACTTTGTCTCAAAACACTTACCTTTTCATCAGGATATGCTCCATATATATAACCTTTCCAATCAGTTGCATCAGCAGGCCTTTTTGTAAGATTGCGAATATTCCTTTTCCCTTTCAATTGCCATTTGGACACTGCTTCATTAGTGGATGAAGGATAATGACCATAAAAGTGAGACATGTCACCAGAAAGCGTTGGCTCATCAGGCTCCAGTCCGCCCATGCTTCCATGTTCTTGTGCATCATATCTTCCCATGGAACTCACTTCTGGTTCTGTGGGTACAGCAGCATCTGAACAAACGACGGAAAAGGTTACTATTACAAAATGACAAATATGTAAATTCATGTATAAATATAAATACCTCATAAAAGGAACAAAGACATAATCAATTAAATAAAAACATAATAGGGTCAGCTATGGGAGCACAGCACGGGTACAATTACTAGTAGTGTTAATCATAAAATATATCTAAAATAATATATTATCGGCATGGAACAGTGGTAGAGATCAGCCACGCATACCTCAGAACAAGAATAACAAATATCACCAATCTGGTCCTTATTTTTAAGAACTCCTAGCCAAGTTCCATATGACTGTTCCTAGACTCGAGTGTTTATATTTACGAACATATCATAGTGATGTGAAGTCATGTACAAACTCCAGCAAACTTCTGACACCAACCGAACACACCATATGGGTTGGATATGAAGCTTAATAATATTTACCACCAGGTCCACCACAAACATTTCAATGACCAAGATCAATCCGTAATGCAAATTTTGTTTCAACAATAACTCTAAAATTCTAATTATTAATAGTGAACTCAATTAAACTAAAATTTTCTAACGCAGGCTGACAAATGCTGAGATCCTTTCGGCTAAAAAATGCAACTTTAAATGGACAAATAAAGAATTCTCAAAGCCAAATGGCAGATTTCATAGATAGAACTAAAATAATTCAAACGAGATACTATCAGCTGCAACTATACGACATTGATCTTTCAAATATTTAAAGCTTTAAAGCCATATTTCCATCACTAATAAATAAATCAATAATGAGAAGTGAAAATTCCACCTGAGAGTATGGCCATTTCTTCATCCATATCTTCTGTCTCGGAAGAATCAGACTCGGATTCGGAAGTATCAGTTTCAGAAGTATCTGATTCATCTTCTGTGGAACCAGAAATGATCCCTTCAAGAGAATTGGGATGTAGAGAAGCTCCAATTTGGGAATCTGACATCTCAATGTCACTTTGACTTTGTGACATTGCTTTATAGTCCAAGGATTCACTAGACTCTGGAATGTACACAAATCTGCTCCTCTTCGCTCTGCAAATAACTCCCATAGGCTCCACTCCTGAAATAGAAGTAGAAACAGTAGCACTGTCAGGTTGCAAGGAATGAGGGACTTCTAATTTTGCACTACTCTTCAAAACTTGGACAAGAGGGCGGCGCTTGTCACGTCTCTTGACCAAACATTCCTCACTCAACCCCTCATGTAACCTTTTCCTTTTGTCTAAAGAATTTTTACCATTCACTTGACTTGTAGTTGTACTTCCCATCTTAAGAACACCACTAGAAAGCGCTTGAACACTATTGTCAACTAATGGTTTCCCAGAACCATTCGTAGAAATGGGAGGTGAAAGTTTTGTCTTTGAAGGGGCAATCCTAAGCCCGAAGTCCTGCAAGCCTCTCATCCGAGGTATGACTTCAGAATGATCCTCTTCCCCGCTAAGTTGGTTTCCCTCTTTGGACTTTTGGGAAGACAAAGGACTCCCTAGAATCTCATTCTTAGGAGACACATCTAGCCTCTTATAAAACTGATTTGATTTGGAATTTCCAAGTTTTAGATTATCATTTCCAAAACTTTCTGAAGGTGTAACTAACCCCTTTTTCACAGCACCAGATGACTTACTGTTCGCACAATCAGAAGCTATACCCAATTTCCCTTGTTTCTTCATTTGTTGCTTCTCAAGTTCAAGTGCGTGAAGAATAGCATCTTCTCGACGTGCATACTTCTCCCTTTTCTTTATTGGCATTCCCTGGGAGGATTCAGCCCTCTCGATACAATCATCAAACTCGCCACATCGAAATGCCTTCACACGCTTTGATTTTTCTAAATTGTACCAATCCCTGAGAAGCACACCACGTAGAATATCTTAAAAATCTTTAAAAAGACAAAAAGGAGAAAAGAACGTCACAAATTGATACAAATAGATTGAAGTTCCTCTTTAAAATGTTTTGGGACTTGTACACACACATTCAAAAGTATCCATCTTGTGATACCACTTAGAGTATCGAGAAAAGAACACTCACCAAATTAATAAAAGAAATTTCTAAAATTATGTGGTACGGTACCGAAAAAAAAAATACCACCATCAAATCGGCATCAAGTTTCATTAAATTTTCATACTTATAATTCTGATGGGATCTAACAATAAAAATAGCACTACCCAACCAAACAATTCTCCTCAAAATAGATTGAAGAAAATCTACAAATTTATTTTACATATGTGCAAAAGTACCCATTTTGTGATTTTCTTTGGGCATACAACTATGCACAGAGACCCCCATCTTCCACTTCCAGTATTACTTTCTACTTTAAGAAGATTTTAATAGATGTGCAAAACTATGCATACAAGTATTACTTTCATTTTGTGGTTTCTTTCAAAAAAAGTATGCATAGAAACTCCCTAATTCCTACTACTGCTACTTTCCATTCCAACCTAACTTCACATCAGAAATACCCAGAGAGAAATTGCAAGGTCAAACACATCTCTCCATCACTGAGCGCTCCATTATTTTAACATTTGACAATTCATTCAAGTAAAGGAAAGTCTCCAAAACTGTTTCTCATAAAAATTAATACGAGAGATGTGTGGATTCGAAAGGTTAATTTAGAGAGAAAATGGGAAAAGAAGAGAGGCGTACACACTGAAAAGAAGTGAGATTGTGAAGAAGCACCCATTTTGTGATTCTTTCAACATGAAAGTTTGCACACAGAAACCCCAAATCTCCAGTATTACTTTCTATTCCAAAAAGTTTATACTTTCTAATTTCAAACCACCAACACTTCAAAGAGAAATTGCGAGGTCAAACACATCTCTTTACCACTAAGAAAATCCTAATATTTAACAATTCATTCAAGCAAAACAAAGGCTTCAAAGTCCGCTGTTTAAAATCCAATACATAAGAAATTATCCAAATTCCAAAAAGGTAAAACTAGAGAGAGAAAGTGAAAATAGAGAGAGAAACGTACACACTGGCGTCTTCCCTGCCGAGGAGCTTAACGGGAGTCCCGGAGCGAGGCGAGGTGAGATGCGAAGCCGAGAGCTCCTCGGGACCCACAATCTTCCCCGGCCACCACGAGCCGTTCCTCCTCCGTACCCACACGATCGATCCCACGCTGAACTCCGCAGCCGTACCGGAATCCGTACTCCCCATACCACACAAAAACCACCAAAAAGTCCCTCTCTCTGCGTCTCTCTCTCTCTTCTTTCTCTCTCTAAAAAACAAACAGACGTCTCGCCTCGGCGGCGGTGGCTCAGCCTCCGGCGAAGAACAGGAAGGAGCCGACGATCCGAAAGGGGCCGAATAGGGACGATCCAAGAGGACAAAATCGGGCTAGGGTTAGGGTTTCCATTCAGAACTGGAGATTTTCCATCTCTTCTCTCTCTCTTTTCTTTCTTTTTCTTTTTTTTTTTTTTTTTTGTGAAAGTATGTACCTGATAAAACTGTTTCTTCTTCTTTCTCTCTCTAGAAGTCCCGGTTTCTCTCTCTAAAATACGAACACAGAGGGGAGGAGGTCTATCTGTCTATGTTGAAATTGAGGGGTGGAGGGGAAAAATTTATAAAACCCTCCCTTATTTTTAAGCAAAATACAGTATTTAACTTTATTTTTTACGAAATACAAAATTTACATATATCTTTCATATTTCTCACTAATGTCCTGAAATTAGGTAAAACTGCAGGCCTTTTTTAGTACACTCTAGCAGTGCCTATTTGAGCTTTCTTTTTAAAAAATTTAAAGATTAAGATTGATATTATGCAAAAAAAAAAAAAACGTGTGCCATTAATTTTTTTGTTGATGTAACATTCAACTTGTGCCATTAATTGAAAACGTGAGGATTTAATTTATTTTTTGTTTTATTTAATTTTTTTGATTTTAGGATAAAAAAATTCCATGGGTGGATTTATCATTAAACTAATCTTGTTTTGTTTTCCTTTAAAAAAAATAATCTTGTTTTTTTTTTTTTTCCTTTTTTGAAAGGGTGCTGTTTTGTTTTCAAAAAAAAAAAAAATTGGTTCCTACATTTTGTAATATTTGCAAATTGAGGGGTCGGAGGTGAAGTTAGAGTGCTACGTGGGGAGAGAAGAATAGTATATTGGGACTGTACGGACGTGATGGGATTGAGTTGAATCGGTTGTGTACACGCGCCTAATCGGACGGACGAGTTTTGTTTTGTGTGAGCTACAGGCAAGCAATTCCACACGCCACGTGCTTTTTTTTTTCTAAATGGGCCCTTTTGGGCCGAATTTTGTAGTCACGAACCGACATGACTTCAGTGATAGGCCCGGTGGTAAGGTTGTGTTTCCAGCGAGGTAAACGACACAAAATATCAAACGACGATAAAATTTGAGCTGCTGAACTGAACCGCGAACAACATGAATGAAAAACGCCATCGCTATATACATTATAATTAAACAAAAAAAGTAAAAAACGACAGCAAATGTAATCGATACAAAATTGAATAAATAAATAAATAAACGATAGCAAATATGAAACGGCAGAAAACTGAAAAGTGACAATAAATTTAAGCTGACAAACGACGAACAAGATGCATAAACAGACTAAAAACAGATGATTATTAGAACGATTTACTAGAACAATAAGTTATGGTGAAACGCGACAGTGATCGGATGATACCAACAACAACAACAATAAGAAAACGATAACAAATGGTCAACGAACACAGAGTGAGAAACAACGACATATCTAAGCTGCAGACGACACAAAAAAAACACCAGAGACGACATACCAAGAAAAAGTTACGGCCGCTTCGGCTAGCCCCGATGGTGGGCGGGTTGGGGTGAGGTATAATAGGTTCTAGGACACGAAGAGTTGCTGAAGGGGGCTTTCTAGCAAAATAAAAAATATAAAAAACGTACTGCAATTGTAATAATGATGCAGCCAAATGAATAGAATAATCGTGGTATGACCTTGATGGTGGTGGCGGAGGTGATAATATGATAAACGTGATGGAGGAAACTAGTGGTGATGGTGGTGAAAAGATTTTGTAATCCACCGTCAAGATCCGCAACTTTGATCAAAACGGTTCCAATTATCCATCATGGTGCATCTCGAGAAAAAACAGAAAGTTGAAATAAATAGAATAGGGTTTGCCAATTTAATTTGGACACGGGACATAAAATTTTAAATCTACCTAAAAGAATCCTACAAAGAAAAAATCTCCAATTTAGAGAGAAAACATAACTTTGTATACAATTATCAAAATATTCAAATCTATCTAATACAATTGATAATACGACTATAAAATTAAATTAAATTAGAGAGTTATAACAAACAACAATAAAATATATATATAAAAAAAAAACCAAATCTTTCTCCATCAAATAAACGTCAAAGGTGGGGGAAAACATCAACAGTAAAAGGGCAACAAATTAGAAAACGACAACAACTATAAACCTACATAATAAAACTAAAAACAACGGTAAACTACATAATAAAATATAGACATACATTAATATACTTCACATAAGTAATAAAGTTGAATTTTTGTCCTATTGAAAGCACAAAGTAAACGAGTATCGAATAGTAAAATACGGAACGGATTCTTGTTTATGTTTTAACGTTAGAAAGAGATGTAACGGATTAACTAGTCAATGCAGTAAAACATAAGAAAACATCAATAAGTGAAGAAACGACTGTAACATCAATAAAACGACATAAGAAAACACATAAAAAGCCAGTCACATTCACCGAATAAACTGCCGCTTGATTATCTTTTATTTTTTACTTTTTTTTATGGTCGGTGCATAGGTGACCCACGATTAAAAACGAATATTCTTCTAATGCGACAAAAAGAAAATAGGAAAGTGATAAAAGCATTTGTCATTTAAAAAAAAAAAAAAACAAATTGAAAAATTGAAAAAACATAGGCGGGAAAAGCCTGAATTCCACACTGCACCTCCCTCTCTCTTCTTCGGCTTCCACACTATCTTCTGTAAGTCTCTCTCTCCTAAAATTTCTCGCTCTAAAACTCGTTAGGTATATCTATCAATTCTTCTGTTGTATTCTCTTTCTGTTTTACTTATTTATTTATTTACTAATTTTGCCAATTCTAGTCTTCGTCCATGGATTTTCAGGAGTATCTTTCTTTTTTCGTTTCCTCCATTTTCTCACTTTCCAAACACAAACTTAGCAGCCATTAGGAGAAATTTTCGATTGTTGATTGGCATATCTACACTCTACTTAGTTTTGGCTCAATGCACGTTCTGGATTTTCGATTTTGTCTCTGGCTTTTTGGGAAAAGAAAGCATTTCGATTTTTCTTTCTTATTTCGTCTACTTCATTTTCTCGCTTTCCAAACATAACTTTCGTCAGCTCCAAATTTGGATTGACAGTGAAATTTTCAATTATTATGGGTATATATACTCGGCATAGTTTACAATCAATCTGCAATCCAGATTTTCGATGTTGATTTGCTGAATTACGTGTTATTGGAATAAATTCGTTTCTACCTCTCTCAATTTGGATTCTCTGAAATTTTCTTCACTTTTTTGCTGAATTTAGCTTGTTATGATGTAAGATTAACTAATTTTTGTCGAAAATCCAGGACTCTTAAAGCATTCGAAGCTATCAGTTTGGGCAGACAACTTATGCGAGCTATAATTAGGTAATATTTAATTTTGATTAATTTAGGAATGGCTAATTAGCATATTTGAAACTAGCATTGGACGGAATTTAGATTGTAAATGAACAATTAGTACTTCTTTCTTTAAACTAAATTCCCAATTACACTCTATCATGATTTAGGCTTAGAGAACTCTTTGGGATAGCTTTTGGAATCCTCAAAATACTTCGTACATAAACATAGATGCACTTCTATAAGTTTTAACTTTTGACCTCTGTTTCTATTTGATTTACCAGAAGTGAAAGTTGTAATTCTATCAAAAGTAGAGCATTCTGAAAGTGAAACTTACTCCGAGAACAATGATGACTTTTATCCCATTGAAGTATTTTCATATGCAGAGTTAGAAATTGGTAAGAGAAATATTGCTCTAGTCAAAAGATGGGTGTGGAGGATTATCATGTGATTGAACTGGTAGGCGAAGGATCATTTGGAAAGGTATACAAGGGAAGGCGAAAGTACACCGGCCAGGTACACACTTCTTCCATTTTGAGTCTTTGAAAGTCCATAATTCTATTGAAAAAAGAGTTTTCAAAGTCCATAAACTAATTTCTATTGGCTTTATTTTAATTTTTAATTTTGCATGGCTTTGCAGACTGTTGCAATGAAATTCATTATGAAGCATGGGAAAAGTGACAAGGACATATTGAATCTAAGACAAGAAATTGAGGTAATGGACTTACTTTCTCTTGGTAATGATATCAATATGCAGAGTAGTTTCTTGATTTTATTTGGGATAATGATGCGGACTCTAAGTAAACTACCAAATCTTTTGTACCAAGTGATCTGTCAAGTGAATCGTTGTTTTAGTGAATCTATTTATGGAAAGTCACTTGATATTTCCTTGCTTTGGAATGTCACAGATTCTAAGAAAGCTGAAGCATGAGAATATCATTGAAATGCTTGATTCCTTCGAAAGCCCTCAAGAGTTCTGTGTTGTCACTGAATTTGCACAAGTAAGGAGAAGCTATCTCTTCGTTCTCTCTATAACAATACATCCAGGCTGCAAATTTATGCATGTGTGCCATTTTGAAGGCTGTTGCAGACACATGTAAGTAACTAGTCCATTACTTTTCTTGACACACACTTGACAGGGTGAGCTATTTGAAGTTCTTGAGGATGACAATTGCCTTCCTGAAGAACAAGTTCAAGCAATTGCAAAGCAGTTGGTAATTCTTCATTATGAATATTGGTCCCATCTAAATTATTAATAAGCAGGAGCTGGTATTTTATTCGTTATGGAATTCAGACCTCACCATCCTGTTGAATTTTATAGGTGAGAGCATTGCATTACTTGCATTCCAACCGTATCATCCATCGTGACATGAAGCCTCAGAATATTCTTATTAGCAAAGGGTCTATTGTCAAGGTTCATGGTTCAGATGATATGCCTTTTTTTAAAAATAAATTCCGTACCAATTTCATTATTTTACCTTAGTCCTGTTATCAAATAACTTGTTACTTTTCTCTTTGGTGACAGCTTTGTGATTTCGGGTTTGCACGTGCAATGTCCATGAATACTGTTGTTTTGCGATCCATAAAAGGTTGGCTTAATGATTTAATTTTCTTGTCTTAGTATCGGTGCAGTTTATGATTTGCTATAGACGTTGTTCTTTTAGTTTTAGTACCATTTTTATCTTTTCTTGTGATATTTTTTTAGGCACTCCTCTTTATATGGCTCCGGAACTGGTACGAGAACAACCCTACAACCACACTGCAGATTTGTGGTCTCTCGGAGTTATACTGTATGTAGAATGTCCATTTCTCTATTATTGCAGTCAAAAGATTCCTTTGGCCTTTTACTAGAACAGTAGATTCTTTTATTTTACTTTTCGGCCCTTCTTTCATCCTCCATATTTGTTCAAACTAGTTTTTCTTGGACACAACAGGTATGAGTTATTTGTTGGCCAGCCTCCATTTTACACAAATTCTGTATATGCACTCATCAGACACATTGTTAAGGTAAATTCCGTCATACCCAATGTGACTTTTGTTAATTTAAGCTTAATAGTACAAACTAATTTTGCATGCAAATGTTCCAGGATCCAGTCAAATATCCAGACACCATAAGTCCAAATTTTAAAAGTTTCCTGAAGGGATTGCTCAATAAGGTTTTGAAATGGTTACATCCCTTGCTTCTGATTGACAGTATCAATTTCCACTGTATGCGACCAAATTTTCACTTGGCCTTTGTATAAATGGCAATAGGTCCCACAAAATCGATTGACATGGCCTGCTCTTCTTGAACACCCTTTCATTAAGGGAATGTCAGATGAAACACAGGCCGGGGTAACTCTATTTCTTAATATCTCCATTTTCACATTTATAAACTAAAATGTATCCTCGCAGAGCATCAGTGATATTAAGAGAATGGTCATCCTTAACCTTCTGTGGGAAGCAAGAGAAAAAAATAATGTGCCTTTAACCTTTTACCAGGAAATGTGTCCGCTGACTGCTAGAAGATGTGATGCGCCATGCAATGGAGAAGGAAGCGAGAGTCACATATCTGCCGGTTTGGCTATTCTAGTCCTGGTTGTATGTCTTCTATTTACTTTAATTACAGTTCTGTATCAAATAAATATGATTTCGTTTATGTCAAAGGTATAAAAAACTCTCCCGATTGTTCAGAGAACAGTAAAGGGCTGTGCAAAGATAAAAATGCTCAGCTAAATGTTCCTAACTCCAACATAGGCGTTTCTTCACTGCATGAGGAGTTCCCAGGATTTGCAAGTCCTAACGATGTTAAGCAGTCAGGTAGATAATTTTACCATTTGACAAAAACAAGAAAAGAAAAGAGAAAAAAGGGCAGGTTATACGCTTCTTGATTTCCCATGCTTTCAATCTTCTGTAACCTGTGTTATGTATAGACTCTCTAGCTAATTTGATGATATAGGAATATCTCTTAACCTTGATTATTAATTTAGTGAAATTAGTATCTGAACCTTGGCAATTCTACACTCGAAGACGTGTCAAATGGGTCCCAAAATTTAACCGATATTACCACATCTTACATTTGAATTGCACATAACAAAATTAAAAATCTTTTTTTAATCTAGAACAGAAATTAAAGAACAATTTATAAGGAATTCAACGGTACTAACACAAAAGAGATCAATCTGAGCATTGTATTAAGAATGAATCTGATTAAATTTACACTACAACCATAAGAAATTGGTATACCAGCTGTTTCTCTATACACACACACACACACAAGTTTTAGATCCTTGAATAGCTTTCTAGTCGTGCTTGTCATACTTAGTAGTTCTCTGGCGCTTCTTCTGGAATTCGTTTTCAATATCATATATTGCCCTCCTAATTTGATCTTTGTTCCAACTCTTTACACTTGATGACCAAAATCCGCAAATAGGTCGATTTTCTTTGGTGCTGAATCCATTTCCCCCTTCTTTGTAGCATGTATTATGAGCATATTAAGGATGTGTGGCTGCAGAAATGCAATGCATGTACTAAATTTTGATAAAATCTTTGAAATGCCAATTACCACCTTAAATTTCTTAATTTACACGATACTTGTAAAATGTGGTGAACTTTGTTTCAGGTTGCCAGACATTGGATAGATTAGAAAATAACTCCCGTACAGTCAAAGGGGCACAAATGATCGGTCAAGATAATGAAGCTTTAGCACATGTTTTGCGACCACTAAACAGATGGTCCAAAGGATCTCAAAAGCCTTGCGGGTAAATTTAGTAGGATGCCTAACTATTCAACTTATACTAAGGCATTATAAACAAATTAATAGAGATTTGATTGTTTGCCAATGTGTTTAGGGATCAAGAAGTTCTTATGTCATACCAGTCACTAAGAATTCTTTCAAACTTAGTTGCAGCTGGCGCCATACAGCCCAGTGGATTGATTGATGAAATAACACACGAACTTCTTGTTTTCACCGCACATATTGTTAGCTTCAAACCATCTGAACTTAATGACTTAAGTGCAAAGGTACTGTTGCTTTATTTAGAAAACTATCCCTTCTAGAGTTCTAGTCCTATATGCGCTTTTCTTTCAATACTGTTCCTCCTGAAACTTTTTTTACTATTGTGATTTAACTGAAATATCTTAAACAGTTTTAGATTTTAAATGCCGAACTTCTATAAACTTTCCTGTTTGATGATTATTAGCGTTTGATGCAACTCTAATCTCTTTATAGAGTTTCTCAATCATCAAAATTTTGGTGCACAATAGAGGAAACGGCATTACAACCTCGTACTTGAGACACTGGGTTCCATTAACCGAAATTTTTTCTCAGGTCATAGCCCTTTTGTGCCACCATTTGAATAGAAATAGCTGACAAAAGTATAAGCTCCTTAAAGTCATTTCATCTTGTTGAATGTGTAGGTTGTTGGTTGCACTGAAGATATATCTGGAAAAGTTTTGTTCGAGTCTATTGCTTGCATTACTGTCATGTTAGCTTCAGTCGTCCAAGGTCTAAAAGCATGTTCTTCTGGTTCAGGTTCTGAGGTCATTTCGACTCTTAATGAGTTGCTAAGATGCATGTTGGATCATGCTAAAAGATCTAGTTTAGTGGACCATTTGTGTCTCTGCTTAGCTACGTCAGGCTCGAGTCTCCTCTCGGGTTCTTCTGATAAGCTGCATGCTGCTTGTGAAACATTTCGAGCTATTTGGTTGTTGATACATGCATCAGAAACTCTTTATATGAAAGAAAATGCCTATCAATTTCCCTTAAGTGCGCTACAAAGTCCTTCTTTGCTCCGACTTGACATAAGCAATCAAGATCGAGGTTCATTAGTTGACACAGAATCAGCTAAAGTTGTTGATGCAGTGACAAAAGCATTCCTCAGATCAAAGGCAGTGCAGGTTGCTCTTTACTATTGTCTTCGTCAACGTCTTGAGGCTTCACTATGTGCTTGCATTCAGGTCCTTGCTCTCATCCTAATTATCTGAAATTTCCAACTAAGTGGTGTTTTCTTCAATTTGAATTCCCTTAAGATCTGAAGGCATTTAAAGAATTTTACTTGCATTTTCAAATTACTATTGTTTGCATTAAGCTTTCATAATTTAACATAAAAGGATGATGAGATCTTAGTTTTGTGTCTTAGGTCTTGTCAAGGTGCTGTCTACATAATGCAATTGTTCCAGGTGTTTTATGCGGCCTTCCCATTTCCCTACCTGTAACTACTGTTGTCAGTGGAGGAGGGGATGGAACCATTATTTCAGAGATATTCTCGATATTATCTTTTTGTACTTCATCCTTCAATAAAGCTACACAAACAGATGAAACAAGTAACTTGAAGAGTAAATTAACCAATCCCGATGTGTTGGTTTTACATTCTTGCCTCCTTGTTGCATCAGTTGCACAGTGCTTAAGGGCAATGGGAAGAAACTCGGCGTTATTTATGCTCACAACCACCCAAAAAAAGCAGGTTTCTCGACTTGCTGTCCTTGCCGAGTATTTCTCTCCTAATGACAAAACAAAAACTTCTCTTCAACCTTGTAGTGCATCAGCTATGTTGGCTCTTGCTTCCATTATATCCCTCGAAACTGGGGCCTCTGTTGAATCCTCTGTATCTGAAATAGGAGTGCCTTTGATTCCTCGAACTGCTATGCTTTGTGACTGCCTTAAAATTTCATCTGGCAACGAAAACGAAGTGGATAATCATCCTGCAACTGGTGCTCTCTCAAATTGGCATGGCCTTAAGGATGGATGTGTCGGTTTGTTAGAATGCAGACTCAGGTGGGGCGGACCATTAGCTGTTCAAGAGATGTGTGCAAATGGTATCCCTATGCTTCTCATTAATTTGTTAGCTAAAAACGCTTCAAAAGCAGCTCCTCAAGGAAATGGAAGCATAAGAGATGAAGCTGGACTATCCCCAATAGGCGCAGCATGGACTGTTTCATCAATATGTCACTGTCTTCCAGGCGGATCCATCACTTTTCGTCAAATTATGAAGACCGATCACATCAAGATTTTTTCTGACTTACTGAGTGATGTGCACCTCAAACTTGTAAAGTGCTGGGTTGGGCCTGGTGGAGGTAAGGATGGAGTCAGAGATATAATAAATACAGTGATTGATCTATTAGCATTTCCTTTTGTTGCTGTACAGAATGCTCCAGGCCTGCCAACAGCTACTGCTTCTGTAAACAGTGGTTTCCTTCTCTATATGGGTTCACCCGGTGCGAGGGTATGCATGGAAAACAAGGATATGGTGAAAGTAATCGAGGAAGACTTGGGAAAGTATACTAAAATCCTTTTGGAGGTTTGAGTGTCTATTCCTTTTGTTTCTATTCTTTGGCCGTGACAAATTTGTATTCGATTGTCCTTCCAGTGTTTATTTACCATTAGAAAGTGGAAATACTATCCTGAGGAATAGAAATCCTAGTACCTTAACTGCTTGAGTGCTAAAATGTCCTTGCGCATTTAGGCTACAAAAAATAATTTTGTAGTTTATTAGCTTATTTCAATTCAATGATAAACACAAAAGTAAAACCAAGGATAACTAAGGATTGGCTTTCCTTTTTTTTTTTTCCTTCCAAAATTCCGTACAACAACCACCTGGAAGCGATAGACCCATATTTCTCACTCGATTTCTTGTCAACTTACCAGGTTGGAGTGCCTGGCATCATTCTTAGATGTTTGGAGCGCATGGAGTTAAAAGATTTGGGACGGCCTCTTGCATTTCTCGCCAAAATGATACGCCAGCCACTTCTGGCAGGTCAACTTGTGAAAAAGGGCTTATTGGATCCCAATAGGTGTAGAAGGTTGCTGGATTCTTCATGCCCGATAGAAGTCACGTTAGATGCTCTCATGATTATTTCAGATTTAGCTCGCATGCACAAGGTTAGATTTGTTTTTGTTACACAACTGTCGGTCTGTTGCCGCATATAATACATTCTTATCTACACATTTTCTTCTTTATAAGAAAGAAATAAGAGGTTTCTTAAATAAAAAAGCAATGCACAAAAGTATAGGACAAGTCCACTAGAACCGAAGAAAATCGCAATGAGACCTTCACAATTCAAGCATAGTAATCATAGTTAAAGGCGATTCCTCAGTTTCTTCCAAGGAGAATTTTAGTTTTTAATTCTGTTCCAAGAGATTTGGTCAAAAACCTTCCTCATGGAAAAGGGTTTAGTTGTCAAAAACTGCAGAATTCCTTTAAAAAAAGGGTTGATTTGATGTTACCAGCTATGCTCCTCGGAATTTCCCAAACTGAATTTATTTTTTGACAATGGAAACAACTTTGCTTCATCACTCATGTATACAAAATATTGTACACTCTCGGTTCCGTATCCCCCCCGCAAAACGAATCACTAAGTTCAGATTTTATGGTGTTCAGGGATTTTATGAGTACATAGACAGGGCTTCTGTTTTGGAGTACTTGAAGGAATTTCTCACTCATGAAGACTCCAACGTACGAGCAAATGCGTGTAGTGCTCTAGGCAACATGTGCCGGCATAGCTGCTACTTTTATGATTCACTCGTAAGTACCAAACAGCTAGATCACTTTCAAGATTTATCTATTTATTTATTTATTTTGGGTCAGAAAAGAACATCCTGAGAATCAACTCTTCTTGAGGTTGTTTTGAAAGGAAATAGTCAAAAAAAAAAAAATCTGGCAGATTATTCCCCCAAAACTTATGAGCTTACACGTGCATTGGTGAATTGCGAACACATTTTTTTTTTTTTGTTACACTCGAGAAATGACAAACTGTTTGGTCCATACCAAACACAATAAGAGAAAGGTCTTAACCTTCCTTTCCATTTTCCTCACCTCGAGTTATATACATTTCTTTACTCTGTCTCTCTCTCTCTCTCTCTCTTACCAAACACAACCTTAAGGGTGAATTAGTTGCAAATCTCTTTATAACTGAAAGCAATGTTCCAGGCAAGGTTCCAAATCATTAGCCTCCTTATCGATCGATGCTCTGATCCAGACAAACGCACACGAAAATTTGCATGTTTTGCTGTAAGTTCTATTGTCCATCCTATTCCAATTGAGAATTTTATTTCTTTTTATTTAGTAAATTTTAACCTAGTGATAGATTGATAGTACTTTTTTTTTTTTTGGGAAGAAACATGGAAAAGCCAAATAAGGGCTTCCTGGATATATGGCTACTTAGTCTTATATACTACTATCTTCTCTCCTTTCCCCAGATAGGAAATGCTGCTTACTATAATGGCACAATGTATGAACAACTCAGGAGATCCATACCTTATCTTGCCGATCTGTTGCTAAAAGGAGAAGATGACAAAACTAAAGCTAATGCTGCAGGTGCATTAAGTAACCTCGTTCGCCACTCCAACAAGCTTTGTGAAGAGATTATATCTACAGGAGCCTTGCAGGTTGGTCGAGAGATATTCAATTATGCATGCACGCATGCCACTTTGTGCACTCGTGTAAGATAAAATTGCAAAACGGCTATAATAAACTCACTTCCACCTAATTTTCGAGTGTTAAGAACAGAATCTTCAGTTTGCCATCCATTTTATTTTCAAAAACATGGTTTTCTTTTTCTTTGTTCGTTCGTATTGTGATGGAATTTTAAACAACAAAGCTATTGTGAACTCACTTAATAGCTTAAGCTTTTAAGAGAACAGTTAAAGTAATATGGTATGTGTGTAGAATCTTGAATTTAAACCTCTATAATTACCTTCTTCAAAATCATCATGTATTCGTTCTTTAATATGTTTCGTGCTTATAACTAAATATTCACATATTTTAATCCTAGTGTTAGAATATAAAAACAAACATTTGCCACGTTTTAAGCTTTTCACATATTTTAATCCTTGCGTGGGGAAGTGTTAGAATATAAAAACAAACATTTGCCACGTTTTAATAGCTTAATAAATAACTATTGGTTTGCTTGTGCTGCAGGCTATACTAGAGTTGGTGGCTGAGTGTTCAGCAGTACCCTTGAATCCAGCTCCAGGTGCCCTAAATCAGTCGCCTCTAAAGGTAGCTCTCTTTTCATTGACAAAGATGTGTGCACACTCTCCTTGCAGACAGTTCCTCCGATCTTCGGAGTTGTTACCCATTATCCGAAAGCTTCAACAATCCCAAGAAAAAGAAATTGCCAAATATGCCTCGGACATTATCAGCAGAGTTGCTGATAATGCCTGAAACCATTCCCCAAGTAGACAAACACTTGACACTACCAAATCAGCAATTATAGAGACTGCCAAATTGGCGAGTCTTAATCATGGAAGAAAGTTTGCCATGCATTCTTGTAGTTCATTTGCTTTGTACAATTGATAGATCAAATTAGCATAAATTCGTGGTCAAACTAGGTAGATGATGCCGTGTAGATGGTGTTATTTCAAAAAAATGAAAGGCGACACCTGAAAAACGACATGAACGGAAGAAACGGCAATAACTCAACAAAATTGATATCACCTAAAAAACGACATCAGCAGAAGAGAGGACAATAGTCCAACAAAACGACGTCACCAGGTAAAACGACAATGAAGTATACACGGTAACAATCTTATGCACAATGCTGGGGAAAGACCCCCATTTTTCTGATAATATGCCTACGTAATGATAGAAAAGAAGAGAGAACTTTGGGCTGAAAGCTATGATAATTCCAGAAAACCAATGTGCCACCAATTCCTAAACAGAAGCTCCTTAGCTGCAAATGATGAGATTATGTCTACCTTGAAGCCTCAGCAAATAGAAGTAGTGGGTCTACTTTCTTCCTTCTCTACTGTCCTTTTGAAAACCATATGCACAAGCAACATGACCATGCCTTTTCATTTAAAGAGTAGCAAGTAAAGCTTACGAGAAACATGCGTGCCCAAATGATTGTTTGCGGACTCAACCATCATGCTTCTAAAAGCAACTCCATATAAGATCTTCCTCTAAACCCTCATTGTCGGTGTTGGTGACTTCGGTTGAGGAAGTCCTTGCCATGACTTCGGTTGAGTGACAATTTCCTTGTGTGTGTTTGTAGCTTCAAAGTTTCAAGCGTCGCCAATATAACATGCCTAATGCAATCAATCAGGTGCGCCAATTAACCTTTCATTGTCAAACAAATTATGAGGCCCACTGCCAATCAAACAAAATTGAGAATCTTTCTCTATACATTAACCGGTAATTTTGACAAATACTTTTTAAAAGTACAGAAGATTTTTACTTTTATTTTTTATTTATAATTTTTTAGTTAAATAATTACACTAATAAAAAAGTATTTATTAAGAGTAAGAGATAAAGATTCAGATTAATATACTCTTAAAAGTACATTTTCTATTTTTATATGTTTTTTTGAGTCATGACTAGAGCTGAAAATTTAGGCTATCTAAGTCTAACGGTTTGAATGAAAATTTTGAGTTAGGTCAGCCAAATCTTAAATAGAATAGAGACGGTCTGATTCGATTTTAAAGTCTAAAAAGCTTAAGATCGACCGGATTCAAAAATTGTGACTTGACCTTAATGTTTAGATCAAATCGAATTTGAGCTAATAGTGGGGGCTTTGGATCAGTCTATTTAACCGTCTCAAACTTATAGTCCGTTTGGTTTATGGATTAGAATCATAAGATTAGAATCATTTTCGATTTACGTGTATTTTTTATAAGAGAAAATACTATAATAAATTATGAATCATAATTTAAATCAAAAAATGAATCCTCTAACTAAACAGGCTCTTATAGTTCTAGACAACTCACATGATGTTCGTCGTCGTAGAATTTTCTAAAAATCCAAAAAATAATAATAAAAAGAAATGTCTCTCAACGTTTTGAGCGTGGTTGTACTTGGTACTCATATTCGCTGTGCTTCGGCCTACGTTGCTTGTATGCTTTGAAGTTTGTGCCCCTTTCCGTACAAAACACCCTATTGTCATCCTATAGAAAGTTAGAAACCACTAGTCACTAAGCATAGAAGCCTATAACTGTGGCTTCCTTTTTTTTCTAGCAACGAAGAGGGAAAAAAAAAAGAAAATTTTTGGTGTTCTTTTTTATTAATCATTAAATTTATATTATTTTTTAATCTAATTTAATTTTTAATTAAATTTAATATATATCTGACGATTAATAAATAAAAAATACTAATATTTACAAAAAAAATATTAAAAAAAATTTAAAAAATAATAAAAAAAAGAAATTTCTAGGTATAGACTTCTATTGAAGTGGAAAGTGTTACTAACACTAATTCGAGTTTTTAATTTTAAATTTTTATAGTTAAAAATTTTCAGTAAATATCATATATAAATTATTTTTTTACAATTAAAAACTCTTAAAAAATTATTACTTATCAATTCAAATTAAAAATTTAAATCTACGGTGTAAACGAGATCATATTCTTTCTCAATTACCACCCACACTTTCTTACTTCTTTGCTTGAATATTTACAGCAAGGCTATAATGCATTTCTTTTTCTTTTTTTTAATGCTATCGTTGCGGTCCAATACTCATTATTAGATAAGACTCAAAATGAAAAAAAATTTGCTGAGTTTTTTCACCTTTATTAAGTGGTAGTTCTACGGATATCTTTTAGAGGGATTCGTTTTCTGATTTGAATTATGATTCGTGATTTGTTATAGTATTTTTTTCACAAAAAATACATGTAAATTAAAAATAATTCGAATCACATAGTTTAAATTCTCCAACCAAACGTTCTCAATCAATTTTATACAATTATAAATGTTTCTTTCGTCAATTAGAAAAAAAAAAATATTTCCTTTTTTCTAAAATTTAGTGCAATTTTGTAGGAGGTACTGAAAAATATCACACCGACAGCATTTTTTTAAGATCGATAAATATACAAATTACATGATTCTAAAATCAATCAACACTCACGATTAACATGTTTCAAAATAAAGAACAAAATCTTGATAATGAAGAACAAGAGAAAGAACAAGGAGAAAGAGAGAGAGAGAGAGAAATACAGAGAAACGGATAACTTCATTAGTTTATATTATTTTGGAGAAAGGATGCAGAATATATAGGCAAGGAAACAAAAACACATGCAACAAAAAACTCCTAAATTAGGGACACCAAATTCCCTAAATTAAGAATAAATTATTTCCTAAATCAGGAAGAAATTACTGATAACTTAATCCTATAGCTATAAATATTGTTGACCAATCTATCCCATGAATTACGGGAGCATATTTCAACACTCCCCTCAAGCTAGTTCATCCAGCTTGCAAACCAAAGATCAAATCTTGATTTGAATCGCGGTGTCTGCACTCTTTTTCTTCAGGATGCATTTAAAGATCAAGATCATCAACTGCGATTGAACATGCAGAAGTTTATTTAAACAGACCAAGAAATTTCACACGCCTGGCTCAAGTTCACAAGAGCTTCAAATCGTACCAATTTTCATAAACTTCACATGCCATGCTCAAATGAGCTTCACAGCACAAGCTCCAATCGCGCTTCTGGAGATCAAATTTGTGAGCTTCACGTCTGTTCACTTTGCTGATTCGAGTTTATAATTCGAATTGAGTGTGATTTTATGTGAGAGTTTTTTATTGTAGTAAAAAAGTTAGATGTGACTATTTCTGATAATTTTTTACTGTAACAAAACTCGAATCGGCGAAATGAATAGAAATTTTTTTTTCATTTTTTTTTTACTGCCCAGAAAATGAAATCCTACGTCACTTAAACACCTTTTTTTCTCTCATTTTTTTATTATTTATTTATTTTTTTTTTTTTTGTCGACAACTACACCCACTTACACGTACGTTCACATCTTTTTATTATTTTTTTCACCTTTTTTTTTCTTTTCTTCACCTAACCCATCACTTTTTCTATTTTTTTTTTCTCCTTATTCTCTTCACGGAAGCCAAAAGCTTCCTTTCCTTTTATTTTCTCTTTCATACGTTCTCAGCAGCGCCCTCTCTCCCCTCCTCTCTTTTTTTTTTTTTTTTTTTTTTTTTTTTTTTTTCATTTAGCACTTCTTCTTTTTCGATGACAGTGAATGTTTCGACTTTGGTGCAAGTGTGGTCTTCGAACGGCCACACAGCGACGTCAGGTGGAGGGCTTCTTTGACGGAGGTTCTTGGGCATTGGTTTCATCAATCTAAGCGACGACCTTCGGCTTATTTGTGGTGGTGATTCAAAGGATTCAACTATGGACTTAGGGTTTTGAAGAAATCTGAGGGGTTTTTTTTTTTACTGGAATTGGAATTGAAAGTACGAATAAATCGGTCCCCCGTTTACTTCGCTTATTCGAGTTTAGAATTCGAGTTGAGATGTGACTTTATGTGAGAGTTTTTTACTGTAGTAAAAAAATTAGATGTGATTGTTTGTGAGAGTTTTTTACTGTAAAAAAATTTAAATTCTAAACTCGAATCAGCGAAGTGAACGGGCCCTAAAGTTCTGATACCATATTTCAAAATAAAAAACAAAATCTTGATAATGAAGAACAAAAGAAAGAACAAGGAGAAAGAGAGGAAGAAATACAGAGAAACAGAAAACTTACGCTTCATTTATTTTATCGATTTGAATTTTATTTTAATAAAAAATTTTTAAAAACGGTCATATTTAATTTTTTTTGTTATAGTAAAAAATTTTCGCATAAAATCACATCTTAACTTAAATTCAAAATTCAAAATAATAAACTAAACGAACCCTTAATAAAGGACATTTATTATTTTGGAGAAAGCATATAAAATATATAGGTAAGGAGACAAAAAATATGCAACAAAAAATTCTTAAATCAGGGACGAAAAGGTCTCGTTTATTTCACTTATTTAAATTTTAAATTATAATTTTATTATAGTTAAAAATTTTCATAAAATGTCATATTTAATTTTTTTATTTTATTATTATTTATTATAATTAAAAACTCTCAATTTGAATTAAAAATTTAAATTGGTGGACTGAATGAGGTATAAATTCTTCAAAGTAAGAAGAAATTATTTTCCAAATCAAAAAGAAATTGCTGATAACTTAATCCTACATGTGTAGATATTGTTGACCAAACATGTGTAGATATTGTTGACCAATCAATCCCATGAATTACGGGAGTATATTTCAACATAACAAACATACAACGTATTTTATACCAGGTGAATCTATTTTTACTTTGAAATACAAAAAGAGAGAACAGAATTGCTTTTGTTTTATTGAAACCAGTGATGTTTTTCTTCTTCTTCTTCTTCTTTTATTTTAGCAAAGTTGGCTTTTTCTTTGTTTTCGTATATTCTTTTTTATTTTGGGCTTTTTGTAAGGCCCCCTTTTTCTTCGCTTGGACTTCTTCAATCATGT